AGTATTCGAAATTTACGTAATACAAAATTAAATAAAATTAAACTGCGGTGGCTGCATAGAACAACGGAAAAAAATAAAAATAAACAAATAAACTTAAATAAATAATAATGCCGTCATTATGGTTACATATATTAACTTGTGTTAGTATAAATATAGAAATACATAAAGCGCATATAGCCACGGAATGTATTAATCACAGATGAGAAGGTTTGGCAACTGCTTGGAAGTCATTTTATACTAACCAATGATGGGCCAACTTTATTGAATAACTTCTGAAGGGCAAACTTTAGTACCTGTCCCCTACATTCCAGTGGTAAAACTACCTGCTTCATTCTTCTGCCATACCACTGATCCATATGATACAAAAGACCCCCACCCTCTATGGTGTACCCATTCTTTCCTTGTCTAGCCAAATCCCAACTATCCTTGAGGGTCTCATCTCTAACCTGCACCTCATGGAGTGACCGTTTGCTTTCGTCGCTCATGTCCAGACTTTTGATACTATCCTCTCTGTCAGCCATAGGACTTGAACTGCTCACTATAATGATCTCATTCACGACCATCTGTATCTGTTCATTCATCTCAGCTTGCTTAGCCTCCTCCAAAGAGCAATAATCAGCTATGGAAATTAATGCATCCGTAGTACCGCTAAGCTCATCAGTTAGGGCGCAAGTTATTAAAACTGGGGTGTAATTCACTTCCTTTCTGTCCGGCCGTCTTTTCAAGCTGACAGGAATGGTAACTAAGGCCGCAGTTACCTGTCGTCCAAATCCACCGATTAGTTTTATCTTTCCCATTGCACGTGACATGTGATCGGGTATCAGAGCCTTCCTAATTACCATTATTTCTGCTCCGGTATCCACTATCACAGAAAACTGATGATCCTGACAAGTAAGCTCAACGTTTTTGTTAGCGCTAGCGGGTATGTTCTCACTAATCGCGTCCTCGTCAATGTTCACTCTGGCTATTAGCTGGTTGCTGGGTCTTACTGTTTCGTCTATTTTAACCATTTGCATTGCCTTGGATTTCACTCTTTCCTCCTCAGTACACCTCCGAGGGCAATTTCTACCGAAATGTTTCATTAAGCCACAGGTGAAGCATTTAATTTTAGATTCCCTTACTTCCGACCCTCTATTGTTCATGGTCGCATCTACTGTTTTCTCAGCGGTCCTCGCTTCCATACACCAGTCATGGTATGGTACCTTTTTACCTCTCTCAGACTTACCTCTAAAATCTCTCTTTTCTACAGCCTCCACATGCCTCTCATTGTATTTAGCTATCTCTTCCGGTGGGAACCAACCCTTGCCCTTTTGTAATAAGACGTAACACCTAGTGTCGGCATCTAGCTTAGTCTTAAGATAATCGAGACAACTAGTTTTGTTAGTTTTTCAAAGGAATCTACACCTCTACTATTCAAATAGAACTGATAAAGGTCTTCCATCCTAGCCGCAAATTGGGGCCACGTTTGTCTACTTCCCTTTTCGTAGGAAGTGAACTCCTAAAGATACTTGGCAGCAGACAACTTTAATTCGTATGGCATGAATTGTTTTAAAGTTTCGTATTCTCTGATTTCATTTGCCGCAAGTCTACTTAAAGCTGTTTTGCATTTCTCGGATAGTACCGTTAAAACTAACTGTCCCTGAAGCTCTTCCAGTATGTCGTATGTTTGTAATACAACCTCCACAGCACAGAACCACGACGGTAATTCCGCTTCCTTGTCTGGCATTTTGGTAAAGCCCATCTGATTTTCCTAGCTAGACTATCCAAGTTACCTCCTAGCTCAGAATTATTACTAGCCCTAGAGTCATTTCGTAACCAATCCCTTTCTAATTCTATTTCACTTTTTCTAACGTCCATCTCCTTGTTTTTTGCTTCTAATTCACCCTTTCTAATTTCCATTTTGGCTAGTCTAATTTGTAAGCATAATTTCTCTACATCATCTGACTCTCTATTTTATTCTAGTTATCCATGACCTTGACCTCTAAACTTTCCCTTTCTGACTCCGTATCTATTTCCTGGGATTGACTAAGACCAGTCCGACCTTCCAGATCCTCGGAACATGGCATTCCCCTTTTTGCCATGAGTCCTTCCACATCCCAGCATTCTGAACACAAATAATCAAGAACAACTCACCAATATCAGGCTCTGTTCCGCCTTGATTTCCGGCTGCTATTCCTTCCGTAAGCATCCAAAGTCTTCAATTATCTTGAAAGTGGGCTTAGTACTTTCCTGTCTCCTTGCTAGAATCTCCTGAAGATTTGCAAGACTATCCTGTCAAAGACTGCACCAGTGGAGATCTAGTGAAGTTCTTTCCTGAACTCCATCTCATTGAGTTGGTTTCTGTGTGTATCACGATTCGATATAGTGATCCAGGTTCGATGGCACACCTCCACACTCAAATTGATAATATTTACAGTTTATTTACAGATTCTATATGCAGAAAGTACAAGTTCGAAAACATAATAATATATATATATATACATATACAGGATAACAATGCGTGGTGACTCACATACTAGAATGGTTTCCGGAAACTGTTAAACTTTGGAGAGGCCTCAGTCAGCTTGTGGAGTTGGCTCAACTGCACAGTCAGTCCAGTCTTCGCTCTAACCCAGGGGTGGCCAACAGTTTTTGCTCCCGGGCCGAACCAGAGGCTACTCTGGAAAAATTTTGAGGTGGTGTGAGATCTCATTGTGGTGTCAGATTAGAGATTACAGAATTACAGATACATTTTTCACATTATCAACACTCTACACTGTACTTACGAGATTTGTAATGGAGGGATAACTCTAAACGCACAGTGTGTTGTGTTGTTGACTTTTTTTTCTTTAGGCGTCAGAATTTTTCATCGAGTATTCGGACTTCAGTGGCTAATATTGAAAGATTGATCGTGGACCACATAAATTCATTAGACGGGCCGTATGTTGGCCATGCCTGCACTAACCCGTCCCTGAGATGTTTACTAGAGGAGAACACTCTCTCTATGCTCAGCGAGCTTCCCAAGTGCCCGAGACTACCATGTATCAGTCTCTTTCCCTTCTCTCTCCCTCTCCTGTTCATTCCACAATTTAAGGGTTTTTTTGGACAGAAACTTCCAACCAATCACAAATCTTTCTTGCCCGAACAGCTTTAACCTAGGTCTGCTGTTACCCAACGAGAGTCAAGCTTACAGTAACATCCGCCATTTGTTTACATTCTGTTGTTTACCATATGGAAAATCGTCTATAGTCTGACTACAGGTAGGTCCAATTGACAAGGTCACGCTTCTTTCGTTCCCTCTCTGCTAAAAGGTCAATACTTAACACAAATTATTTCTGACTATTGTAAAGTCTTTGGAAGCCATTTTAACCACCCAATACAATTTTCAGTAATATTCATGCAGGAATTTAAATAATTGCTTGTTAGGTTTAATTTTCTTTTATGGTAATTTGATATTTAAACCTGATTTATTATTCTGACATTGCCATAATGCCAGGCTGCAACTTTTAATTTATTTAATTTAAAATATATGCTCTCCACCTCAAATTAGTACTGTACTGTCTACCCCTGTAGATCATATTTTTCCATTAGCAATTGGAGTTGTGCCGGTCTTCTATCTAACTCCTTTCAAAGGAAAATTTGTTAATTAGAATAACACGACTTTCAGTTTGCATCAGATATTCATATATAGTTAATTGGGTCTTCTGCTCCTAAGTTTTCTTTACCTGATTCTGACTTTCATGTATCTAACTCTGTTCTCTAGAATAAGGAAGGTCAGAGGAACATATAGACAACAGTGGAAATTTATAGGTCTATAATTTTTTCAAATTGCAGCCCAGTAAAAAGTATAGGGTGGTCATAAAGTAACTTGACCAACTAAGCAGGGAATTCATTAAAAAACTTTGCAGGATGAAATGCACTTGCAATACACAAAAGTATGGGTAGAACATGTGTCACAGTTAACATAACTATAATTTGAAAATTTCCAAAACAGCATAATGTCACAAGATTCCACATGATGGAAAAACAGCATAAAACAATGCAACAGTTTGTGTAGAACAAAAAATAAGACACATATCAGTGTTTGAACAATAGGAAGTGAGTGAGCCAATGCCCACAACAGAAGACCTGTACAAGTTTTCAGATTATACAGCAGCATTCAATGTACTAAAACTGTGAAATCAAGTGTAACAATAAGCTTCAATACAATGGATATAAGAACATCTGTTGAGCAAAATTCAACTATTCTCCTGTTTTTTCCCTCATCCATAAATGTATATAAGTGTTTTGTCATGAGTATTAGCTTGCCCACTTCCCATTATTCAAACACTAATATGTCTGTTGTTTTTTTTTTTTTCTTATTTTTCTTATACACACACACCATTCCAATGCTTTATGCCATTTTCTATCAAGCAGAATTTTATGACATTATAAATTCCTGGTGTTTGTATTGGAAATCTTCAAGTTATGATTACAATAACTGTGATAGGTGTTCTACCCCTATTTTTGTGTATTGCAAGTATATGTCACCTTGCACTTATCCTGAAAAGTTAAAGATTTGGTCAAGTTACTTTATGATCACCATGTACTGTACTTTAACTTGTATTTGAAAATTCAACGTTTTTACAATTTTAAATGAAGAACACTTTCGAACATTTATTGTTTAAATGTTACCTTTCCTGTACTCTACTTTGTCATTTATGGTACAATGTGTCCATTTTTTTGAAGTTGATATCTGGAAACACCACAAGATCACTTGGAGCTGTTCGTGGTATGAATCTCTCCACCTCTTCAGATCTTAGGAGTTCTATATAACTTATAACACATTTAGAGATGTTAAAATTCATTACATAATTTTACTGTATTTAGATATTGATTTCCATTCTTATATCATTAGTTTCATTGTTCTATTGAATAATCAGTATGATTATTTGCAAATTTGAAAATGAATTATATGCATTATTGTTAATTATTCACACAATACATAACTTAAACAGATTTACTTAAGGAAGTCCATAATTTTCTTTTGGATGGAATTACTCCATCTTTCTTTTCGATCATTTTGTCTAAAAATTTTATCACCATGCTTAAATAAAAGTGCAACTCTGCAAAAAATAGGTTTTATTAATTTTTGAACAATTTCAGCATCATCATTGTCTTGTTCAACCCTTTCATCTTCCTCCACTTGTTTTCTTTTAATCATATTGCATATTTCAAAACATCTCAACAGTGCATCCTGAGCAGTGATGTACAGTTCCATATGATTGGAAACAGACCTTTATAAATCTTTCTTAGAATATTACTTCTCTATGCGGATTGCTGCTCTATGCGGATTACTTCTCTATGCGGATTGTTGTTGACACAGCACTCATTTAAATGGCTCTGCTATCTTAAGCAAACTGCTCTCTTATCCAGTGCTCTGCTAAAGGGACTTATCTATTTTATAAAAAAAATAGTAAAATTGGAGAGTAAATGATATCAATTACATCTTACATCAACAGTAATTTTAACAAATGTAGTAAGAAGAATTAATTTTTTTTGTCTTTTTTTGTTGACAATTAAATAAAAATTATAAAACATACTTCTAACCTAAAATAAACCTTTCCTTGCAATTAGTAGTAGTCACAATTCTCATTTACTAACAACTATACACTTCAAATTTATATTTGGACTTTTACTTATAATTAACTCAAAAATATCTAATCTACATTTCTGAGGACCCAGACAAATTGAAATTTTATGTTTTTGATGACGAATATCCAGAGTGACAGTTAAGCTCTCACCTTTCAAAATTAAAACAAAGTAAAACTTAAAATCTTGCTTAAACAATAAAAGTTATTTTCATCAAAATGAAAACAAAATGCTAGATTTACGGTAAACAATTCCAAAGTTTGGAGGAATTTTAGATGATCAGGATCAGGTTAAGTGTCAATAACAACCTCTCCCATGTCCTGAAAGGTTTTGAACTGTCACCAGGAGACTAGGGAAGACCAAATTGGAACATAGAATAGAGGAGAGAAACCTATAAAAATATGTGTTTCAAGGACACAATGTTCTTTGCTCCAAAACGTTTTTCCTCCTCCAAGATTCACTGTTTGTTCTCTCACTGTTGTTCTATCTCCCAGAGTTGTTCTCTGTCCAAGGTTCCTCTTTCTCCAAGAACTGTTATATCCAAAGCTTAACAGCAAGTTCTGGGGCCATTGATCTTGCAGACCATCAACAAGGAACAGAGTGAAGACATCCAACAGGACATTCGGATTTTACTGGACTCTCTTCTTGAGAATTGTAGCAACAAGGATATAGAAACTTTTGTAAGAAAACTTTTAATGTGTAATTAAATGGGAAAAGTAAATGGTAAGCCTATCTCAGTGTTTATTTCACACCCACACACAATTGTCATGATCCTGCAACAATTGCACACAGTAAGCAAGCCTTACATTTCTAACATATAAAGCATATATTTCTGAAACAAAACTAATTCCTCTAACACGAAATCTGCAGAAGTGTGCAACACTGACGTGCAACACTGATACACATCTATTCATTTAAATGGATTTTTAAAAACTATCAAAAAAACCATAACACAAATTTTTATGTTAATGTGCACAGAAACATTTATAATTAATACTTATGTTATTTGAATGAAATTTTTTTATAAGTATACAGAAAAAAACCTTTGTATAATTTAATCTGATCTGTAATTATAGTCAGACACTTTCATTTATATAAAAGTTCAGATGATCATTGTGAAACAAATCTGAATATAACATCAAAAGATTTGTTATAATAAACTAGAAAAAGCATAGTTTCAAACAAACAAACATTAAATGGCAAAGCTTTTATTAAAATAACACAAAGCATTTCAATTCAAACTATACAACAGAAAAAAATTAACATTTTAATTTTGTAAAGAATCAATTACTTTTAGAATTTTTTCACAAACAACAGATTTAATATTAGTTCAAAATATTATTAATTAATGTTAATTATGTCTGTTAATATCCTTTTGCTTTATCCTGATGATTGGAATTTAAAATCAATACATAACCCACCAATTGCATAACCCACACATGTCAAATTATCTCACATAATTATGGTAAATATTACTATTTGAATGACAATTTAATACTAAGTAAATGTTTTTCTTGAAATGACATTAATAAAAAGTATATTATTGTAATATTTTAGGTTAATCATTATGGTTCATTTTAAAATAGATTTTGACTTTGAATTCTTTAACATGTTTTTCAACTCTGACATAAAACAATGCTATGAAACAGTGCAACACTAGAATGCACCATGCAATGTAACATGTGGGATAAAACAGAAAAGTGACAATTTATTTTAATAAAAAAACATCTAAAGAAATCAGAAATAAAAACTTTTAAAATATTTACCATTAATTATACAATTGATGCAATTCCAATCTTAGAAGGGTCATTTAAAATTCAATAAATTGATTTTGTTACTGATATGATGTTCTATTGTAGAAAATTTTCATAACCTATATTAAATTTATAAATAATGAAAAATTATTAATTATTCAAATCTACACTATATACAACAATACAAAAAATATAAAACTTACTGAATAATACATATTTAAAATTTTTCTTTAATTTTAAGAAATATTTTTATAATTTACTTTAAAATGCAAAAAGAAATTTCAACTATTGAAATTATTTAAGTAATTTGTTAAATAGATAACTTTAACTGGTATATTACAAGAAGAATATTTAAATCATATAACATAGTGAACCATACAAATTCAAGAAAAAAGTTCAAATTCCAGACAATAAAAACATAATATAAATCTCAAAAATGCTCATACATATCCATGGAAATCAAAAACTAATTTTAAAAACCTCTAGTAATAAGTTTCATAACTTCCCAGTAAAAAATATTTAAGAAACACTAACACCCATTAGCACAAAAGATAAAATTATGTAGGGCACCATCTGTTATGAGATTCTGTTAAAAAAAAAAACTTTTATATTTATTAATTATTATAGAAAGGCAAAAGATTTAATTTTGAGGGTAAAGATGAGTTTTTAAAAAATAATTGTAAATGCCAATAACAAATAAAATTCTCATTAATAAATGATATGATCCCCCTCTATCTCCCCATCCTTTCAATCTTTAACTGCAAAAAATTTAATAGAATTAATGCCCCTTATATACAAGTTACCATGCCAAATTTCATTTCCTAATCTTTACCCCATCCTGAGAGATTGAACTAGTGTTACCACCAGTCCGGTTTTCACCCAGACAATCTGGGAATTGACTCACTGTCCAGGTGAACTATTAATTTTGTCCGGGAATTTCGTAGAAATTGTGAAATTATGATGAAACAAAGCTCTTGCAAATATTTTTACAAATTTACACTATTTTAACAGCAAAATAACTCACACTCACTGAATCTCATCTGCAATTCTATCATTACCATGTTAGTCTGTTTATACTGACGTGTGGCACAACCCCCTGTTGACCTTTTTTTTTTTCACTTGTACGTCTCAAATAGAGTTAAGTTATCTGTGCCCGTTCTTTCTTAATTTAGGTTACTTACATTACAGTTAGGGACTAGGACTTGCATAGGATTTAGAACCAACATGCATGTTATTCTTCGCATTGTAAAATGACATTGCGCATACATCAGGAACTTCTGTTTGAACAAACCTGACCTGCCATCTGGGTAAGCAATTTTGAAAAGGTGGCAACACTATCCATGTTATCAAAGTGTCTCCAATTTTAGCTAAATAACCAGAGAAATGTTTACAATCTTTCATAGAGCACCAACTTGCATCTGTGAACAATTCCAGTTTTCTTTGTTGTCTATCACACATTATAATTTTGAGCTCCTTTTACATATCTGTACACTCTTAGTGCTGTTAGATGAATGAATCATGGCTTCTTACTATACTGAGATATGTGACTAATATAAAATGTAATATCTAATCTGGTTCCAACTGATAATAGGTTATTTTATGTATCTATTTCTTAGTGACAAATTATCATATTCATTTAAATTTTGGTTATAATTACTTTAACAAGTTTTCAAGAAACCTCTTGTAATGTTTCAACAAGATTATCAAAATTTTTTCCTAATGACATTGTTTGTTTTATTTTGTCTAGAAATGGCACATAAGTGCTAGAAAGTACCTAATGCCCATTAAGGTTTTGCGTTTAAAAGTTGAAAAATGTTACCCTGTTTTCTGGTTAGTTTTATACATTTAAGTCATTTGTAAATTTGTGATAAAATTCACTATTTCAAAATATGTGGATATGAAATTAATTCTCAGTAGAAGCAAAACAAAAATTATCACAAAGCTGTAGATACATTTTTCAAGAGTTTTTTTTTTTTTTATTTTAAAGTTTAAATTCTTTAACAAACTTTATTATCATTTAAAAGGTTTGGAATTAGAAATCCCAAGTGTTTTAAGACATTGAAGGAATAACTAAGAAAAACAGGCAACATAAAAAATATTTTTAAAATTCTAGCAATATTGTTTTTTTCTTCAGTTGTAACTATAATATTTTAATTCATTTGGTATTGAGAGATTTTAAAATTAGTTCAAGGGAAATTGCAAATCAAACTGGAATCAGTCAATTATCCATTATTCAAATTTTATATGGGGTGAAATATCACCTGTATCACCTAGAGTTGTCAAAACATGCTTTCTGTAACAAAGTATTTTTGCAACTGGATGCAGATAAGAATTTAACTACCTGACTGAAGCTCTTTCTCTCATTAGTTTACTGTTACCCATCTTTACCAATGGATGAAACAATTACAGCACTGAAATCCCTTACATAATATCTTGAATGTCAATAGTAGGGACAGGCTCCAATGCTCATAATAGAATGTGATTTGACAGAACTGACATGAGAGAAAAGCTATTTTTTTAATTATTTATCTAAGCAAGAACTTAGTATAATTAATGACGAAACCAGTCCCACTTTCAAATCTTGGAAAGAAAAGCTAGGTTGATCTCACTCTAGCAGGAATCAGAACCCCAATTATTTATTCACAAGATGGTCTCTACTGGAGTAAGAAATATGCTCAGATCATACAGCCTCCTGTTTTGAAATTGGATATACTGAATGAAGTTCTCAAGATATTGCTTTTTTATAATTGTACCTTTTGTGCAAACTAAAATCTTTTTCAAATCCTACTAACTGACAAATTTGCTACCATTAGTCTAGATCTCCAAGTTGATCACCTAACTAGGTAGAACTCCAAGATATCCTTAAAAGTTGTGCCGATGTTGCTATTCCAACGTTAACACCAGAGGGAAAAAAACAATTCTCTGATGGATATTCAACCCTGAAAGCAAGTGAATAAGTTTTGATTGTGCTACCAAAGATAAAAATTTGACACTATATCAGATCTATGAAGATGAATTCAAGGCTATCTATAAAAAACTTACAAAAGGAACTTCTCAAGAGCAAACTGAACTCCTGGAGAAAATAGTGTAGCATAAAAGGCTATAAAGCTCAATGAATGCAATGAAGGGAAAAACAAGAAATTATATGACAATTTTTACAGATGTCCTACTTGTATTGTCAAAACTTGCTCCATGACCTCTAGTAGCAAACTAAGAAATATTAAAATTCTATTTAAGAACCTCCTAAGTAATAAACACTGTATACTGGATGAAAAAAGTATAAATATCACTCATAAAACCACTGGAACATTAAGAACTCTACACAACTCTTGGATAATCTACACAACCTTCAGATTAAAGACTACACATATATCATGGTGTGCAATTTTGAATAGATTTATCCATCAATAATAATAGAACCATGCTTCTGTACACTCTAACTTTCACTTATGCCTGAAACAATAACATTTCTGTTGTCCATTTCCCAGGTATCAACATATGCATAAAGGATGGAAGTATTTACTCTTCGATGTGTACTCACAATCCAATTTTTATGCTGATCTCTTCATACAATTACTTCCAATACAAGATAGCAGCATTTAGGGCTTTAGTAAAACGTGTTCACTCTCTCTTCTACTATGAAAGAAAGAACTCAAGAATTGTGGTACATCACCCAGCTAGCTATTCACCACAGTTATCCATGTCAATTAATCAAAAGTTTAATAAACAAATACAGTGGAACCTCAGTTAACGAACGTAATCCGTTCCACGAGTCTGTACGTTAACCGAAGCAATTTTTCCCATAGAAATTAATGCAAATACAATTAATCCGTTCTAGCCGTCAGTATTTTTGTAATTTTATTTGTAAAATGGGTTTTCTTTGATTCTTTTCAAAAAAACAAGACGAACTTTTGCATTAACCCAAAATAATTTAATATCCACATGTTAAAAGCAAAAACACTATTGTTAAGTCAGACCAAAGTTCAGGGAGAAGTAAGGAAAAAAACTGTACTGTAGTTGTCAAAACAAACGCGATGCGAAAACGAATGACATAACGAATCAGATGGAATGTCTGTGAGGAAGATGAAACTAACAGAAGCGGTCATAAACAGTCGATCTAGGTTAAATTTTCGGAAAAGGGGAATGATTTGACGGGTATAAAAACATCGCATACGATCATTAAAGTTCTAAAATGACAGATAGCAGAAACAATAGGCTAAATTATGAGTGAAAAGCTTATAGGTTTATCAACAATCTCCGATCAGAGTCGATGAACAGGTGTTAAATAAACACCTCGGAACAAACCTTTCTCGTGACCTGATCTGGTTTTGGTTTTCACCTGGAGACAAAGAATAAAACAATCGGGAAGTGAGGAATGGGACACAGGACTAATCGTAAGGTGAGATTCAAGGAAAAAATACTATAAAAACCCCAAATCTCAAGATCAGTGTAGTTTTCCTAAAAATTCTATGGCGATTAATCTGTGTCATCTTCATCTGGATTAAGCCTGAAGTCGTGCCTGCTAAAATTTGTGTTGTGTCTCGCAGACCGCTCCAGTCGTTACAGCTCTGTCACCTACCATCACTTCTGTGACCAAGCAAACCCATCTCGTCCGCTCTGGGGCTACAACTGATCAGCTTGCACTATTGTAGGACCAGTGATATGCCATTCCTCAGTGCCAGGAGAAAATACTGTATATCTACAGTATTTTAAGTATTTCAGATAAGCCATTTCCAACCACCTCAAATATGTAAGCATCTTCCCGTTCTAATAAACAATTTTCACTGTAAAATACTTGTCATCTTTGTCTCCTCTGCCACCACCAATGTACAAATGGACCCTAGACCACCACCAACACACGATTAACTGATTCCCCCTAAAAGTCAGCAAGCTTACAAATTTGATATAAAAAGCCATTAAGTTCATTATTTGAGACAAAATTTTTGCAAAATAAAAGTTCATTAACCGATTTGGTCATTACCAGGACGTTCATTAACCAGGGTTCCACTGTATGTGGAGCAAGACCAAAAAAATGGAAATAATGGATCACAAATTCAAGACTGTGCAGTATAATAAGATCCTGAATCCTGATGGCTATACACTACAAAGTAGCAAGATG